GGCCGAAGTGCAGGACCCGGCACTTGGTCTTGTTGAACCTCATACAATTGGCCTGGGCCCATCGACCCAGCCTGTCCAGGTCCCTCTGCAGAGCCTTCCCACCCTCGAGCAGATCAACACTCCCGCCCAACTTGGTGTCGTCTGCAAACTTACTGAGGGTGCACTCGATCCCCTCATCCAGATCATTGATAAAGATATTGAATAAGACCGGCCCCAGTACTGAGCCCTGGGGAACACCGCTCGTGACCAGCCGCCAACTGGCTGTAACTCCATTCACCACAACTCTCTGGGCCCGGCCACCCAGCCAGTTTTTTACCCAGCGAAGAGTACACCTGTCTAAGCCAATGTAAGCAAATGAACATTTACAGTAAATTTCCTGTGCATGGTTTATTACTATACGTTAATGAGCATATATACAAGTATATGAGGCTGAAACAAAGGAGTTCCTTTTTTTTTTTTCCTCCTGCTAAGCTGATGCAGCATTACTAAAATTGACTTCTTTTAGAGCAGGATCAGAGCACTTCACCTCTTAACATGTTCCCCAAGACACCACTGAGAAGTAAATTCGCCCAACTGAGAAATGCCAGAGAAAGCCTAAAGTTCCTACACCAAGAGCCAGATCTGCATCACTCTAATGCTGATTGACACCTTCCCCTGTCACTCCTTGGGGACTGTTTGTGTGGGAAGATGCAATGCAGAGAGATAACAGCTATCGGAAGATAACTATGTCATTGCAGATAGCTAGCAAAGACCTATCCTGAGAAGTTCGTGTTTCTCAGCTTACTGATGTAGTTACCAGCCTGGAGGGAGTTACAGAAATCTCCAGGGTTGAGCACTCCAGGATGCGAATTAGCCATGCTGTGGGAAAACAACAAACTCAGTAAAAGAACTCACCTAGTGTTCAGCTTTACTCTCTCAGCCTATGCAGAATTTGCAAGGGAGGAGGGTTTTAAAAGGGGGAGAAATATTGTTCCTAAAAGACTAAACAAGAGAACAGTAATCTTTGTGTTACTGGCTGAAACTAACAGAAAAAAAGAGTGTTACAGAGCCTGAGCAGTGTTCTCTTCCCCCATCACCAGAAAGGAAACACAGATCCTTCCTATCTACCTTGTCTGCTCTAAACCAGCCTTATCCTCCACATGATTCAATCCTCCTACCTTTTCTGGCTCACTGTTGTTAGACCAGTCCACCAGTATTTTAGATCAGGGCTTGAAGTCGTAGCTCTGTCCACCTATGGGTGGCAAAAGTACATATCAGACAACAGCACAAGGACAGTTTTTTACCATGAAATTAGCTGAATCAACAGCTTATGCTCTTCCCTTTTTCTTACAGCTGTTCCTACTAGGACAAGCTCCTGAGGTTTGGATAGAGGAGCTGAGAGTGCCTTATAATGGATTTTTCTGCCACTCCTCCTCTGAAAGTGGGGTTGGAGTTACCCAAAGCAAATAAAAGCTACTTCCTATTTGGCAAATCTTGTCTTTGTTTCTGGGCAAATTCTCAGAGCAAACTTTGTAATGGAGTCCTGCAGCCTGAGAAAGATATTTCACATACTGTGCTTCAGTGAGGGCAGCACAGACTGCAGATGGCCTGAAGGACTTGTGCCTGGGGGTGTGGTCTAAGTGCAGCCTCCCTCATCTTACAGTCAGATTGCTCCTACTGACAAACCTGCTTATTCATGACTTCTGGAAAAGGACCGAAGACCCTGGGCATGGTGAACTTGGGAGGTTCAGGAACCTTGGAGTGAAGGCAACTAAATCTACCTTCTAGGGTGTGCTTCTTCCCCCTTGACTGCCTTGGATGTCGCCCTTTCCCAGTCTTTGCAGCTGTGAGGAGGAAAACAAACAAACAAACAAAAGTATTTCAAACCAGTGCCAACTTACTGGTTTCCTCAGTCTATTCATTCAAAACCTGGGGCTTGGGCAGGACAGATGGAGTCTTCCTCTCACATAACCCATCCTAGGGCAGCCCCAGGTAAACACCAACTGAAAGCAACAGTCCTAGGAGACTAGACTGTCTAGAGTCAACGGGAAAAGAACGAGGAGGGTCTCAGCCAAACGCCTGAAGTCAGTTTCTTATCACTACACCCAGCCATTCTCTGTGGTGTCTCAGTGGAGGGTTTTTGAGTGATCTGAATTAACTTGGCCTTAGCAATTGTGGTTTTAGATTACGGAAAAGATAATAGTGGTGAGAAAGTAAATTTACGATAGAGGACTTTGCCTCTCCAGTCCTACTGGTCTGGCCATTTTCATCACTGATAGATACTGTGAAAATATCTTTCAGATGCCAGATTCCTCCTGGCTGATGCTTTCTTTCTGTAGGGACAGGAAATTCTGGTACACGGGCTGTTAAACAGCTTAAATTTGTTTGGTTGGAGCCTTAAAAAAGAGGTG